AAGGAACATCCTCGAGCGAACCGTGACGGTACACTTCGATGCGGAAGAATAAATTTCTAGGATGCACGAAGGGGGGAAATGGGAAAATTTTAATTCCGGCGGCATCATCTTATTCTATGTCATGCGCGATTCCCGTAGAAGCTTTAGAATAATTGCAATCGAAACGCAGAAGTATTCTTTCTCGTTTGCATTGTCTACTCCCTAGAGAAACATGGAAAACCTTCGGATTTCTTTCGTACCTGAAGAAATCAAGGAATTCTCATAGAATTTTATTAGGACTCGGGAGATTTTTTTAATGTCTCCTTAATAATATTTTTATATTGTAAGTTATATAATCGGCAATTTATATAATTTTGTTTATATATAATGTCTAATAACTCAATATTTTAATAAAATATTAAAAAAGCATTAGCAAATGCATTCAACAGAAAACTTATTTTAAGAAATTATACCAAAAGAATTATTAAAATATTCCTTTTGCGTGGAATTTTGAATAAAAGTAATCCTGGAAATTAAGGGATTTTCAAGGATTTTTCTACAAGATTTGTGTGTAGACACATCATGAGTGACTTAAAACTTTTATATCTTTACATGAAATTTATTACGTGTAAAAAATTATCGAGTTTAATAAAAAATCTTTTCTTTAATTAAAGTCATACAAAAAAATTTCACAAATATAAATGTAAGTGATCGACAGAGACATCGTTTAGCGTCTACGCGCTTTGCCCTTCTTCTATTCAATACCTTAATGTCAGTCGGCGTTACGAGTCTTTGTCTTCGATTCATCCCCCTCCTGCCAGTGGTGCAAAGGGGTTTTCACCATCGCCCGAGTCGTACTCGAGGATGAAGCTTTATTTAGCAGATGATATTTACGACTTCCAATCCCGCGAGACCCTCCCAACTTTTATATTGTCTTTGGCAGAGTTACGCTTTTGACGATGCTACCACCTCCTGCTTCGCTTCCCCTTTCATCGACTCGTTTCGTTCAATTCGTTCGTCTCCACCATTGAAAAGATGCTGCCGACGATTTGGAAAGCGCAGCTAAATGGAATTAAGGTCGTTCACGGTTTGCCGTAAAGCTCGATTTTGTCATCGAACATTCGCGCGAAGAGAGCAAAAATCTTCGAGCTTGTCAACGATACTTGAGAGAAAAGTTACAAAGTCGAGACCTCGTATTTATCTTTGTATCTTTGTTATTTATTTTTTTTTAGGAAAATGTAATTGTCATACAAAAAAAACATGCTTCTTCTAATGATTATAGCTTATCGTATATCATGTGGATCATTAAATATTTCGTGCACACGAGAAACAAGTAGGGATATATCCGTCTCATCGTCGAGCCACCCCTCATTCGACATATCGTCATCCGGAGCACGGGGAGTCGCAAACACCAGAAGCAAACATAATATGACGAACGCTCCAGGCTACACACGGGAGGAACAAACCTCTTCTCTTACAGTTATTTCTGCATTGACATCTGATCCGCGTGACGTCGCAACGGGCTCGTTCTTTGTAAAGTAATCCTCGAATCGGCTTCTCATCCAAATTAATCATCGTAATGCCAAGAGAGCGCTAACGTTTATGGAAAAAATGTTTATGAAATTATTATTGTGGAATGGTAAAATTAATTTTGTAAATTAAAAGAAAAAAGTTTCTCGAAAAATAAGGGTAATTTTGTCGAAATAAGAGTAACTTTTATCGCGAAAAAATTCCTATGGGAGAAATGTTTATGGAAAAATATAAATTTCGTAAAGTAAGAAGGGATATTTCTCGGAAAAAATAAGATCGATTTCGCCAGTCTCGTGATTATAATCGCGTGTAGGAGATAAGTCTGGCTTTTATCGCGAAAGAAATTGAACGACCGGCTAATCTCACCACCGGGCCGCCGATAGTAACGCTTCATTTTTCATCCGGCTAACCGAATTTGTCGAACTCGGACCTGCGCCAAGGGGTGGGATCTAATTTCAGGGCCATTCCGATGGATACGAGCTTCCTACCCTCGCCGACTGATAGTCGTGAACTATCATTTGTACGAATTACATCGCCATCCCTTCTCGCATCGCCGATCGTTTGTTATTATTAGCTTCAGCGTGCTGCTTGTAATGGTTCCGTTACATCTCCCGTCTTACATCGCCGACAGTTTTATGCACATGTTCCAAGTGCTTGATTGACAATTCTTTGCGATGGAATTAAATTTTACATAGTATCGGAAAAGAGGAGACATCGATTTTTGATTCGCGCGTAATTGATTTATAAATCAAATCTAGCAATTGAATGCGCTGAAGAGATGATAAAATTATGCGAGGTTGCGGTGAATCGAACTGGAACAACCGCGTCAAAAGAATCGACCAAATAATTACGTCAGGCGGCGGATATCTTCCCGTCAGGTCGTCGATGCTTTCATCTTCAGGAAGCACGAAGAGGCTCTTGATATCCGTTGATAGAGTCCGAGCTTGTCTCGATCCGTTGGTTAGTGAGGGAGGGAAGGCAGAATTACACGCGGTGCGATGGAAATTATACGTACATAAGAGCAACGGAAGGTGAGAGACTAGTACGTTAAAGAAATTAGAGAGATAATTCCTCGGACGAATACCCAATTTACCCTTTCGTCCGTAGCGAGCGCCCTGGCCTTATTATCTAAAGTGCTCGGCTGGCGAGAGAGGGTAGTGGAAAAATAAAAAAAAAAGAACGCCCTCTCCTAACGGAAAAGGCGGAGGGTCGGGCGGGGCCGATGGCAGCTTGGAAGGACAAAAAGTACTAAAGTACATCTCCGACCTTCTCCTAGCGAGCGCCGCGCTATCCGGAAACTCCGGGACGCCGGCGTGCTGGTAAACTTTTTTCGGCTCCTATAATTTATTTACGGCTGAGATATTTTTCTCGGAGCTTCAACACCTTCGTCTTCGTGGTGTGGAAAAGGAGTAAACGAGCGTCCTTTAAGCAATCCGCCTTTCTTATTTTATCCGCGATTGCGTCTTCTCCTCCCTCTTCCTTTGTTATCAATACACGTCCGTGCACGCTATTATCTCTTCTTTTTTCGGTGGTTGTACTTTGTATTTTGATACTGCGTGCGACTACGCGTTCAACTTTTCGACCGATACTCGTCGATAAAGAACGCAAATGAAATAACTCTTTGTGCTCTTTGTATATTTTTGGAAATGTGTTTTTTAAAAATATTTATTAAAAGTGCATACAAAAATAAATGTCGTAGATAATAAAAAGTATACTTGAAAAAAAATAACCGATTTAGTGTCAAACGAGTGATTGTTGTACATTGAAAATATCTGTCCGGATCTGTGAAAGACACGTAAAGCGCGCCGTTCGTCATCGTGATCGAAAGAATCGGCCGATCAAGCCGCGAACTGTCCTGAAATACATTTTCCTATATCCGGCGACTTGCTGGCGGCGGTTTTAGTGTCGCGAGCCTGTGTACGAACTAGGCGCTATGAGAGGACTAGTCTTTGTCGCTATTTTAGGGAATGGACGCAGGGACGACGCGAGTACGTATTCGATCGATGAATCACTCAGTACAGTGTGACGTTGACGCGAGGGAGAGACGAGGGGGCCGCGAGTTCCATGCCGGGGAAGGGGGCAAGGGGGATCAGCGGCTCGCGTAGGAAGGGGTTGGATGCACCCCGTGTCACATATATATACACGGTAGCGGCTCACCGGTTGCGGGTGCAGCCTATGCAGGTGCGGGTGTATTAAAAAGCGGGGGTGGCTGCGGTCGCGTACCAATCACCCGACGGGGATGAGAGGTGGATGAGAGAGACGGGCTACGGGGATCGGATAGAGCGGCAACCGGGACGATCGGGAGCCAGTCGGGACGCGCAAAGAGAGGGATCATATAGAGATAGTTTGTTTGAGAGAGAGAGAGGGAGAGAGGGAGAGAAAGAGAGAGAATGAGAGAACGTTCGAGCCCATGCAGCTTGCCGTGAAATTTTAATCGTGTCGTCATTGGGGTAGTTTGTTGCGATAAACCGGCCAGCGTAGGCATATACAAATTTCGGGAAAAAAGAGGACGCAAGAAAACTGTGTCGCCTGTGTTACCGCTTTTCTTCTTTATTTTTTTTAGTATTATTATATTCTCGAGAATGCACGTATTAAGAGTGTCACGTGTTTTATCCGTTGCACTTATTAGCGGCGCGGAAGTAAAAGTTGTGGTCAGGAGTTATCCGCATTCACGGAAGCTTTAAACGTGTCATACTATAAAAATTGCTTTGTCATTTCGGTTAACCGAATGTTGAAAAATCTGCGAAAATGTATTTTGCAAAATGTATTTTTGCGACAAAGATAATCGTGACGTAAAGATATTACGGATGATCGCGGGGCGTAGATAGGGTCGAAAACCGCGTTGAAAAACACACGGAAAGATTCATGGGGGGGCGCGACGTGTCCGGTATTATTGCTCATTTGATTCGGCGCGCATCGGAAAATAATGTAGAAAATTGTTTTGCGGTCTTTTTATCTCGATTTCAGGGACGCTGAGCGGTCAGCGCGCGGGATCGACGGGGAGGGTGCTTTGTCTGTTTTCCATCAATCACGCGGACCTTTTCACCGCGCGGATATCGAGCCTGCCCGTTTTTGCGTGCGGTGCATCCCGCTCGATTGCAATCGCGGCGAATTATTGAATCTGCTGCATCTCGTCCGACCGGATTAGGTTGCACACGGATCGCTCGATACACGATTGCAATTTGTCCACCACTTTATCGCGAACCGACTATAAGACTATAAGACTATTTCAAGTGCACGACGCGTTTCAGAGAAATTATAATTGTTATAAATAAAGTTATATATAGGTTTTTTTAACAAGTAGCATCGACACAAATTATCAATATTAATTATTATAGATTAATTATGCGATATTAATGAATTGTCGCGCAAGAAGAATAAAAAGATATGCGTTTTCTACTTTAAAATTATTATATTTATCAAACGATAATATGTCATTGCAAAATAATAATTTTTTTGTAATTGTGTAATATACTCGTATAATTAGATAATGTTGCACTTACCATGGCATGAGATATCCTCGGCGAAATCTATGATAATATAAGAGAATAAATCGATATCGTGGAACGGATGATATTACTTTATTCGTGATGACGTACTTAAACAATGAGTGATTTTGATTAAGGCCAATAGTCACGCATACATACAATGTCATCAAAACAACTTGTGAATATGATAATTATACAATAAAATTTTTTTTCACATATATGTCAATGTCTCTTCGTTTCAGACGACAACAATATTGTCTCGTAAAAAAAAGAGACAGTTCGTAGAGGATGTGACTTGGCCAGGATTCGCAGGATTGTGATATTTACAACGTCAACTACTCGTAATTTCGCTTGCACCGGGAAACTAAATGTCATCTGCTACACGAGTATATTTTCTTTATACTTGTCTTTTTTTTCTAAATTGTCGTTGATACAATAATTTGAGGAAATGAAAAACGGTCGCAGGGTGAGAAACGCATTGATCTGATCTAAAAAAGACTTTTTCAGGATTATTATATATGCGCGCGCAGACGCGTTTTAATCGCATACTCGTGTAGTCGATGAGACATTGAAAAAGTTTGAAGTATTCTTAATTGGAATGACGAGAGGATGATGCTTAACGTATATTTGAAACATTAACCTAGATAATAATCAGAGATTACTTTATATGTACATATACTATATGCGAACGTAAACCCTGGTTAGTCCTCGAGTCCATGACAATTCTTAGACGATACCGCAACGGGTATAGATAAGGGATAGATAAGTAACTTTGACAAAAGGTTCGTCCGAAAATTTTGATAATTAACATCCAAGCAGTGACGTTTCACAGTGTTACATTGCGCGAGGATGTTCTATGAGCGTGTTCCATTTATTCCTCAACAACTTGACGATGATGATATATCGCTCAGCATTGCCAAACTAATCTACAACATCGTGCGAGCTCTGCTCCCGAATTTAATCTCGGATCATCGAGACGAGATTAATCAACGTGCGCGCTATCTGTCAACAAAAACCAAGTTTTCCTTTTTGAGAAGAACACACGATAAAATTTACCTACAGGCCATATTTATTTTAATCTTCGTCTTGATCATGGAATTCGTTGAAATTGTCGCGCTCGATGGATTTTCGCTGAGCGAGTTTTACTCGTTTTAATAAGGTCGTCCTTAATAAGGTCTCCACACCTGTCTGGGCTTGGGACTTCTCTCTCTTCGTGATCTGATTTCCCGTTCGACATCTATTCCATCCTCCTTTCTTCGCGTCGTCAGATCCTGTCCGACGTTTTCTTTATCTTGACCCTTCTTCGTGCTAAGATCGACCGTGCCCTCTAAACGGATTTTCACAGTAAGATCACCGCGACGAGAAACCTGATCCTGATCGAGCTGAAGATCCGAATCGTTCAAGTTCTCTATGCTCTGCCGTAAGTGAATCGATGCTTCCTGGAAGGTAGCATCCGTGGACGCGGCGTCCTCCAAGTCGCTTCTGATCGGCGATGTTCTCGGAGAGTCTTGCTCGGGTATGGACTCGTCGCTTCTGACGCGGTCTCTGTTCAAATCTTGATCGTTTCTATCGTCCACCTCGATGCTATCGTCGGGACTATCTAATCCGGATCGACGTAAAACACCTTGATCCTCTCCCCGTCGCTCTTCGTCCTTCGTACTGCTCTCAGGACTGTCGCTGCTGCTTCTGAGTTTTCTGAGCTCTTCCAATCGGGCCTGATCCGGCCTCTGCAGTCGCTGCTGGGCCATTCTTAGGGCCAGAGCGTGCCATTCCGGCTCCAGGATATACTGCTGCGTGTGGTACAGAGGATTATAGAGCCAAGAGGATTGCGGTAATAATGGCGCGAATATCGATCCGAAGATGGATCCCGTGGCACCCAGTAAATGAAGACCTGTGTTACGAACAAGACGTCAGTTTTTCGGTCTATGTATGAAAGAGCACGAATCATATAAACCGCGCGAGGGTCGCGTGTATCTCGACTTTTACCTTGAAAGTGTGAGTGATGTCCAGACGGGTTGGGCGTCGTGGTAGTGGTCGACTCTGCGGGAGGCGTCGACGCCGTCACGGAGGCCGTCGTCAGCAGGCCTGGTCCAGGATTCCCGGGTGACGTTGTCGGCGTCACTTCTCGCACGGACACGCTGATAGGACCCAAGTCGCCTCTTGCGGATTCTTTTGGACATATCAATTTACACGCCTATTAATCGTTTAATCTCTCACCTGAGAAAACGCTGACCGTGTTATTTAAATAAGATGCGTGCTCGTCAAATTTTCTTCAAATTTCTACTTCTCGTATTTTCATTACCGGCGTTAGGTCCAGGCAGCCTCGGGGATCTTTGTTCGATCGCGTGGTGGAAGGGGTTGAAGGCCGATGCACCAACTGTTGGTTGCGGATGTGTGTGCGGATGGTGGCCGGGGGGAGGTGGAAGACAGTGCGGTGGTAAAGATCCTCGAGGTAACCCGCCCCATCCCTGGCCCGCTCCTTGCTCAAGACCCAGGTGTTGCAATCCTGTGCAATCAAAGAAATGCAGATTACACGTCTCCGAGGATTCTGTTTATTCAGCGTCTCCGCTGTCATCACGCCGTGGTGATCTCCATATCGCGCGGAAATGTTTGCAATGCAAGATGTTCACCCTCTCTACGTGATAGTATTTATATTCGTCTACACATATATATATATATATTTAAAAATCTTTTGCTACATCGTATACATTAAAACTTGATATTTTTAAACAGGATAAAATATTTTTCGAGACCTGTGAGTAACGCAATGCAGACGACAGCATCTGAAAATGAGTGATGCGATCGTTTTGTGACAAGACGTAACATATTTCTGGGTATCACGGTGGGCGTTGTATAATTTTCGGCAGGTAAACGGTGATCGACTGGCAGTTCGAGTCGTAGAAACGCATCCCTTTGACGTAGAGGCGGTTTTGACGTGGATGGACAGTTAAATTTATCCAACAGAGAATGCAGAGAGACGATCGATCATCTCTTTTTCGATAATAGCCAATATCGCGTGGCCGCGCAAGCATGTGTTTGAATGCAATTAAATTTATGACATCAAAAAGTTCGTCTGATCGTGATCGGCTGACACAAACCAACTGACATAAGTCGTACCGCTGCCTTTGTTGTTTGTTCATTTATGAAACAACAATTAATTCTCGCGAATTTTCAAAAGCAAAAATTCGCTCCTTTCGCTTTACTTACATTTACGAGAGGAAGGGAAATTTTCTTTCCTTCAATTTACTTACATATACATATAAGCAATGTAAATGCGATTGATTTTCGGTGCGTCGCGCGATATAAAAAGAACACAACTGTGCAAGAAGCAACTCGCGTGGTTATCGACGTGTTATCGGTTTTTCGAAAGACCTTGATCAATAACAGATTATGCCGTCATCTGTGCGGAGCAGTTTAAAAATTCCGTGAAAGCTGCCGCGCGAAGCCACCGTGCGCGAATACGCGGCGGGGTGAGGGGGAGGAGAGCTGGAACGAGGGTGAGGGGGCGGTAGGGGGTTACGGCGGGGTGGCAAGCAGGGGAAAACGGTTTTGTCGAAGCGGGGAGAATTGTCCGGTCACTGGCACGAGGGCGTAACCACCGAGACACGCGGATCGCCCCATTGGTCGCACGTACGCTCCCACCCTTGGCGTTATACCGGCTGGTAGGGCACGAAAAAGCTCGGTAGGGGTCGTAGGGGTGATTTTTAAGCTCTCTTTAAGCCGCGCGCGCTCGCCAGAAAGGACACCGCTATCTCACGTCCTACCACACCGGCGTGGCACACTGAACGGGCCAGCCGTGAGGGGGCTCGTAGCCCTCCTACTTTATGAGGGGGATTAAGAAAACGATAAGAGATGCGCGAGAGCACCGCTCTGCCACCGAGCTTACGAAGGCCAACGGACGGAGGCTTTCGTTGGCAGCCAGCATGAATAAGAACCGCTTCGGTAAGCTCTTCAGGCAGTGGGATTCTTAGGTGACGGTCACGACGTGCGAACATCCTCGGATTATAACTGACTATGAATTTCTTCCTCGCTTGTTACGAAGCGATCGGGTTCACAGGCCTTAAAAATAATTTTCCATTAGTATCACATAGCTTGCTCGTAAACCGAGAGATGGTTAGATTCTTGTCCGCGTAAGTACTTGTAATAACGTTACGCGATAAGATAAGAGCTTTTATAGAATTTCGTTAGTTATTTATAATTAAAGCGAAATATCGGTAAATTGGAAAAATATTATCTATTTTTGTTTTGGAATATTTTGAGAATACTTGGTAGCTTTCGAAACATCTTGTGCACGAGATAGAAATTTTCGATACCGCCACGCATTCTTTCCAGAGAGAAAGCGGACGTAACATATTTTCAATTTAATAAACCTCGAAAATGTGCCCGTCCACCCCTCTTTCCACGGAACTCGCGTGCCGAGTTGGGTTCGGCTGGCGGGCGATAATTCCGAAAACAAATGAAGACTAATGAGGGGTGGGCCCTGACGAGAGATCTCGGAAAGAGTGAGAGCGAGGGAGATGGAACCCGCGGGAGGCGAAGCTGAAAGGGTTCAAGGAGCCGCCGTTACCCTTTAAGGGGTGAGAAATGTTAAGCTTAAACGTTACGGCCCTAGGGTTAGGTGCCTTTGCGTGTGCCTTCCATCGGGGGCTTTAAGGGATGATGTATTATCGAGCAGCGTGCTCAAAATGTGCTACGTACTTTGGTCGCGCCGTTCCCGAGATGCGGTAATGTGACGTCACGTGTAATATGAGCTTTTAAGCGTAGCTTTATATACGTTTCGCCGCCGACGCGCCCACGGAGTGAATTAAATTTGGTCACGTCGATTATAGGACTCTCGTCGACGCGAGACGCGATTTCGAATTTCGCGATTGCACTTTTCACCCGCAATTATTATTATTATCACCGCAATATTACGTGGCGGTCCCGTCGAGTCTGAAGAGAAATCGCGTAAAACTCCAGCTTGACATTCTTTCGCGAATCCTCGGCGTCTCGAGCTTTTACGCGTTCGCGACGATGAAACTTAAAGAGCGTCTTAAAGACGTTGATTCGAAGCCTGACACGCAGCCTGTAAAATGAAGGAGGGAAGCCCTCGAAGAGTTTCTCCTCGCCTTAAACCTTCTTGATCTCGCCACCTCGAGATACATAATAAATTAATTCGCGTATTTTCCCGTCTACCTTATCTATTCAAATCTATGCAAAACAGGCGTTAAAAACGCCCTTCTTGGCGCTAAGGCGTTAACCCTTGCGGAGCTCGATTTCCCCCACTTTCTATCCTCTCTGCTTCCTCTCTCTCTCTCTCTCTCTCTTTCTCTCTCTCTCCCTCTGCCTCTCTCTCTATCTTTCTCTCTCTTGCTTTCCGACTTGTTCATTGCTTCCTCTTTCCACTCCGCGTGTTCTATCCTCTAGCTACTGCCGGCTGGATGTCTTTGCACACCCACCCTTTGCGCCCGTTCTCATTATCGCGTCGCAGCAACCCCTAAAATGCCACCCTGGAAAGGTCCCTGGCACCGATCTAAGCTCCACGAGGAGATATTTCGAGAAAGGACGAGAGAAAATTGCTATCTCTCTCTCTCTACTTTTCTATCTTTATTTCACTACCGCGAGATTTTCTCTTTGAAGTTGAAAAAGAGCGCAAAAATGATGGATCTTTTAAGAAATTGTCGATGCTCAGCGATGCATAAATTTTTACTCATCTATATCGTTTATTACATTTTGTGATTATACAAATAATTTAAATTTTCAAATTTTATCTTTTACAAACCTGCTATATCATTAGTCATTAATACCAAGTATATATATTTTAAAGTATATATGTACTAGAAAATTACATAATTTTATTAAAATGCTAGATATTGATCATATAATAATAATTAATTTTATTCATATATATATATATATATATATATATATATATATATATATATAGTATATTTTATATATTTGTAAATTTCTATTGTTTAATAATGAAAATTTATGTTTTGCTTTTATATGTATATCATTAATAGTGCTTTTAATAGCCAATATTAACTTTATAAATCACATTTTATTGAAGTGCTAGAAATTATTCGATAATTAATTTTATTTATATATTATAAATTTCTATTATTTAATAATTAAAATTTATATATTGCTCTTTTATCTACATCATTAATAGTGTTTTTAATACCAAATATTAATTCAATAAATTATACAATTTTATTAAAGTGCTAGAAATTAATCGTATTATCGATAATTAAAATTTTATCGATACAAATTTTATCGTATAATTTTTTATTATTTGGTAATTAAAACTTACAGTTTGATATATAACTTTTTCATGTACATCATTAATAATGCTTTTAGTAGCAAATATTGGCTCTATAACAGCGTATGTCTCTTTCATTTTACGACAACACATGCGTACAAAGCTTGAGAAAATCAGGTTGAGAATAAATATCGATTACAAGGACATTGTGAGATACTATCAGGTTTCTATCTCTTAGGCTCAGTGGATTTTCGTGTCGACGATAGGAAAGGAGAAGAGACCGACGGCTAGAGAGAGCGTCATTAGTTACCGTCGCTTCCAGAGAAAGGTCCCGGTCGCCGGACCTGATTAAAAGACGGAATACCCCGGGACGGAACGCCCTTGCAAGACGCGCATGGGGGGTGAAATGTGACGCGAATTTAAAGGATCCGTAGTGATTCGACACGGAGGGGGATGGACAGGAACAGCCCTTAAAAAGGTTCCCTTTAAGGACCGTATGCCCGAAGGGTTGTCGTTGCGTTCGGTCTTCCGTATACATGTGAAGGAGGTCTTTAAACGCGTTGCGTGCAAATCAGATACGTCCAAGTTTGGAAGAGAAACGTAATTCGACGATCGTAGCAGACCGCGACGAAACTTGCGATTAAACTAATCATCGCTCGGTTTATGTTGTCACATTTTAATAGCGATATATTTATAGAAAACCTCGAAAATCCGACAAACCCATGGGAAATGAAGAATCTCGTATTTATCATCTTTTATAAATTATATGTTTGGTAAGAAGAGGGGGAGGTCTGCTTTAAAGAAAATCACGAATTTACTGCAAAACGACCAGGAACGAAGCGACAGTTTTAAACTGAGCGTTTCTAACAATCTCCCCCAAATGAGGTAAAGGCCACCTTATTGAAACAGGGGTCGCGATTTTTCCGGTTCTCTCTCCAACCTCTCTACCCAGTCCCTCCGTCGTAGGCGGTTAATTGACACGAGAGAGCGGAAAGGGGGAGGGCAGATTGGGGCTGCACAAGCTGTTCTTGTTAACTCGAATCTTGGCACCTCGCGATTTTTCATCCCCTTAGCCAGACTGACAAAGACGACGGACTCGGCCTCCTGGGAGGCGCGTGATCACGTGTTTTCGTTCGTGGACAATCTCAGCGAGGATCTGTGTGATATCTGTCACCGGATACATTAATTTTCCACGAGCTTGCTAGCGATCGCTTCTAAACGTATTGTGAAACTTTACTAAAGAAATTTTTTAAAAAAAGAATCGGAAATATTTACTTTCTACTCTTTTGAATTATTTTCAGAATTTAAATTTTTTTCAAAGGAATATCATTTTTACATATTCACTACGATAAGCGTAAATAATTTTTTATAATTTGCTGCATTTGTTGTAGAATTTTAAGATTCCTGAAAAAATACTTTTAAGAAAATTGTAGATATTGGTGATAAGCATAATATAATATATTTGAAATTAATTATATTGAATGAATAATGTGCCATTTTGGTAATTTAAGATTAACGGATAAGTTTTTTAAATTATTGCCATACATTTTTGATATTCGAAGGAATATCACCTTTGCATATTCATTTTGATAAACATGTAAATAATATTTAATAAAAAAAGATACGCTATACAATGTATATATTACCGAATTTTAAGAATCTTAAGAATACTTTTGTGAAAATCACATAAACATTATTTTTGAAGCATAATATAAATATATTTGCAATACAAGATTAATTATATCGAAAGAGTAATCGACGTGTCGTTTCGATAAATTGAAATTGATGGAAAAGACGAAATTAGAGCGGTGGATATCGGAGATCGAAGGGAGGTAAAAGCGCATTGGCCCGTCCATCGGACTTTGGCGCTCTCACGAAGCCCTTAGGGAGCCCATAAAATTCGTCCCTGCTGTCGAGGTAGGCCCGAACGAAATTTAATAACATCCCCCTAGTTACACCTCAATGGGCACCTTAACAACCCTGCACGGCCAGCCACTCATCCTCGCGCCCCCGATGATGCTGTTCCCTTTCTCCTTATCAACCCTCCTAGCGTAGATATCTAATAAACCGCCTCTTTGAACGTCCTTACCTAGTCAGCGATACTCAGCTGACAGCTGACCGGTTTCGAAAGTTGGAAAGGTGCTCGACTGACCGACCCTCCGTCGGACTGAACGGAGGCGCAACCTGTGAGCCGGATGGCGAACCCCGAGCGAAAGGGTTGAAAAAACTCGCGAGCACATCACTTGAAATAAACCGATCGATATTCGCCGAGAGTACCGTTTGCATTCAACTCGGAACACAATGTAGGTGACCCAATTGCGTAAATACAATTTATCCGTACGATAAGCTAAAATCGTATCCCAATAAAACTCGTGTATCTCTGATATATAATTTGCACCTCGCAATATTGACAAAGCTTCGAGACCGCTTTCGATAAAATCAAGTCTGTTGAAATTTTTCGACATTTTCATATCCGATTCAGGAGTCGTAACGATTCTTTTCTCAATTTTTTTAAAATGTCATTTAAAATGTAACGCTTAATTTCTGATTGATTTATCGATCCGAGTGTCATCGATCATCGATCAGAAATTATCTTGAAACGTGGAATTCGCGGAGACGGCGGAAAAATCGTGACGGCGAGGGAAGGGCAAAGGGAAGAAAAGTTAAAGCTCCGGCGTATTACCGGGCGCGGCAGTGGCTAATTCTTGATTGAGCAGACCGGGGATACGGGGGACGGGCGGGGGGAAGGAGGGGGGAGGGGGGTAGCAGCGAGAAATCGACGGCAGGACTGCCATCCCGTAGTACGCCTCGGGGATAGGAGGGAGCGAAGCTCCGTTAAGCCGCTTATCATGCCGAAACAATACACTGTCGGTGCACCAGTATCAGTACCCGACCCTCACTGCTCCGGGCTAGTCCCATCAAAATTTGGAGCTTCGAACGAGTTTCAATGGAATTCGTGCCACCCAACTGTCCTGTCGAACCGGTTGGATACCTGAAAACTTTTTCGAAAACGCTCGCGATGATGAAACGTTTAAAACCCCATCGTTTATATCACAGCGAATGCATTATCCCAAAGAAAGAGGCTGATTAATCGCGCGCTAAAAGCAATTCCGACGTACGTACTCTATAATTGATTTAGTCAAATGTTAAGTTTCATATCAATTAAATATTTTTCCGTGATTATATATGATATAAAGTCGTGATATACACAAAAATATAGAAAAAATTTTTGAATTTTCGAATTTTCGACAGGAATATTTTGCCGTGTCATAAGAGTTTCCCGATGACAAAGTTAGCATAGCCGAAGTTTATTCGAGAGCGACTTTTCCAGTAAGCGGGGATCGAGCAGCTTCGTCGAGACGAAAAGGCAGAGTTCGCACACCCGGGGCTTAATCAGAGTCTTCTCCACTTAGAGGCCGGTGGCAAAACTCAATTTTGAGTCGGTGCCTGCCGACGCTCAATTTTGACACCCTTCGCAGCCACGAAGCCAAACGCGCGCGAGAAGAGGGCGTCGACCCCCGCTTGGCCCGCCAAAGTTGCCTTCCTCCCAGGAGGGGCACGGTACAGGGTTGCAAACTTAGTTATCTATCGACGGGGAGACGTGCCGAGAGAGAGACAGAGAGAGAGAGAGAGAGAGGGAGAGGGACTAGAACCTCACCGGAAGCAGGTATTCGCGCAAACTCGTCGCGACGAAGAAGGCCGCGTGTCTTTGATTAGAGACTTACCCGACAGCTTAAATCCCAGTGGGTCCTGCGGGTGTCCGAAGGGGAATGGACGAGGCCCGAAGTGAAAGGGATGAAAGGCCTGGTGTCCTGCAACGTGAGATGAATTTATGAATCAACGTAGACGTCGATAGTGAATTTGGCAATCTTATGGCATTTTTTCCGTCGCGGTCTGTCCCCTTAATCGAGTTCTTTAATGACTTTACCCTCATCGGTTAGATAAGAGCTTTAATGTAGAAAAAGTTACGCATTATCCTCCGTGGATAAAGTTGTACTCACGTGTCTTTGACCGCGGCTCCCTGGGACCGTCCACGGTCACCTTGATCGCTTTCGACAACGTGGCCACCTGCGGCGGCGATGTCTGCAGCATGATCGTCAGGGTGAAGCTCTTTCCTGGAACGAAAATGAGAATGGAGGCGTCGGGGGTAGAAAAGAATTATCGCCCGGCGGTAAAACGAGAGAGACCGAGAGCGTCTCCCAATGGGAGATCGTGCATATTCTCGCCTTGGCTCGGTTGCCAGATCAAAAACCATAAAGGCGTGGACTTTACACCGCGCTCCTTGCTTTGCGTAGACTCTATTATTCATGTCCAATTGGCCGACCGCGAAGAGAGATATTCTCAGTACGTTCAATTTTTCGTGAGTCTCTTCGCTTTCGTTCCTCGTGTTCCACGCGTTGAGTTTGATCAAATTTTACTCTATTAGAAAAAAATGACATATTGAAGCGAGACAGGATAATAACTGTGTTATATATTTTAATCGATTAAATGATCGTAGCCTTCGCGATTGATGTTCGGAAGCTTCTTGGCGGATTCGACTCTCGTTGCAATGCGTTCGCGCTCGTTCGCTGGAAACAAAACACAAATGTGCCGGAAGTAAGGGGGGAACGAGTGACGCCACTGCGTCGATGTTTGTTCCCGGATAGGCTGGAATATGTTAATGCTGCCGGCGTTAAACGCGATCCCCTGAAATGCGCCAGTTTCTCGTCACGCGCGATTTCGCCCTTTTACCTTTCGACAACATTCGGTAGCTCGATAGATGAGATATCCTAATCGATTATCTCGAAATTTCGAAACAGACGCGCGCGATAACACGTTCGAATAATATATTTTCAAATATCGCTTTTTCTATCGCAACAATATATATACTATTACTTCCATTATTTTTCAACAATTTTTTTGCTATAATCCGTGTTTTTACTCTTTTTTTCTTGTTCACACGATATATATTTTTAGCGGAATTATAGGCCTTGCTTCTCGACTGGGGCCAAAGTAACTCTCCGATTCTTCTAACATATAAATATCCCTCCTCCCTTAGCATGTTTTTCCGTTCGCTTTCGCACGTTAGCGCGCTTTTTTTGTTCACCAAGTCCCGTCGATGACCCGAAACAATATCGGCGAGCGCATAGATGAAACGCGACTCGTAACTGGTCCGGCCGTTTACTAAATTTCGATGTTTTCGGCACAAATATTTCAATCGATGACGCGCGCATCGCGCGGAATTCGTCACGCGTTCGACGCGTCCCCCGATCATCCCCCCTTTCCTCCCTCCTCATCACCCTCCCGCGTAATCGCACGTAAAATAAAACGCGGGAGGAACGAGTCGTCTCGTCGCGTCGCGATATCGCGCGAAGAAAATGGCACCGACGTCAACGAGAGAAAGAGAGAGACAGAGAGAGAGAGAGAGAGAGAGAGAGAGAGAGAGAGAGAGAGAGAGAGAGAGAGAGAGAGAGACATGTGTCAACACACGGGAAAACGGGGCATTTACACGTTTTTTTTTTCCACGGCGCTCCGCGACAATAAAGTTATACAGCTTATAATGGTGTCGCCAAGTGCGGCCGGGGATACGTAACACGCGCGCGGTCGGGTAGTTTTATTTTATGGTGGCGCGGCCGCCCCCCCCTCTCTTCTTCCTCGCCTCTTTCCCCCGTTCCCTCCTCTTCCCTCTTCGGTAAACGACCGCGTTTTTACGGTGAACCACGACATTTAACCGGCTTACCCGTGCCCGTCGCCGGGCGAAATACCGGACTTTAACTTCGGGCCAAGGGAGCCGTGCCATTTCCAGCGCGGCGGTTCCCCTTCCTTTCGGCGGTGATTGGCCGCTATTTTCGCGCCACGCTTCGTTTCACGAGATCCTTCCGAATAGTCAAAATTGATTTTGCACTTTGCCCATCGAGTTCTTAACTTTCATTTCGCATCGCGGATATTAAGCCGTCCCATCGGTTTTTCGTTTTTCATCTTTTTCTCATTTTTGCCGCCTTCAAAAATTAATTTATCTCTTTTAATTAATTGAAAGTTTATCCTAGTATCGCGTCAGATAATTGCGTTAAAGAGATTATTCAATTAACACATGTTGAGTAATTGAAAAATAACGGAGAATCTTTCAAATTCTTGTACCGATTACAAATTTCAACGTTATCTCAATACGAATGTGCATCGAGGTCTTAATTTTCATTTGACATCATGGATATTAAGCCGTCCTATCGATTTTCCATTTTTTATATTTTTTTTTTTATTTCTGTTGCTTTCAAAAATTAATTCCTACTTTATCTCTTAAATAATTGAAAATTTATAGTATCAAACAATCACGTTGAGGAGATTATTCAATTGGCGTATGTTGAATAATTGAAAAATAACGGAGAATTTTTTTTCAAACTCTTGCTGAATAAAATTTCATCGATTATATTAGCGTTTAAATATGAAAGCGATATATAGATACATATTTTGCAACAGACGCGCAAGATTTCTCCACAGAGATTTCGTGGCTGCGAACTAACGAGACCGAAGTTTATTGCAGGCGCGGTGTCAGGCGCGGCGGCAACGCGAGTCAGGGGTGATGGCAGGCATTTTGAGGGTGTTTATGAGGCATTATGTGTAACTCGCTGGAAGAACGATCCTCTACCCTTCGGGGTTTACAGTCTCCGTCCTCTCCTCCCCGGCTTCCACCTACGTCTAGCGAAATTCTAATTCATCGGTTGTACACGTGCGGGACTCGCGTCCCGTGGTCAATTGCACGTGAAAATCGCCTCTCGCATTCTTGGAAATTTTCCTGCTGTAATCCTATTATGACGAAATGTCCCGATTTATCCCGTAATTTATAAGATTGGAAAACATTGCGCGTCCCCTTTTTTTCAACGTTTTCTCTTTTCGGCGTTTCTTTATCAGCGCCGAGGATTTCGATGGTGTCCTTCATTCGCGCAAACAAGCCTGAAAAAAAAATTACTAATCCACGCGTCGTACGTCATTTTGATCCCACAAAATATTGCTTGGTTGCAGACTCGATCGAGAAGAGGATCTATAAAGATTATGATGAGCCGGCTGTAGAGTTTCCCGTCATGTTAGACTTTTTCGAAAGACTTTTGAAAAATTTGTCTTGCTTTTACAGCAATATATTTCTCAAATTCACGGATATTTTATGGAGTAAAAAAAGGGAAAAAATGTGTACGCGACAATGTGTACGCAAATTAATTTTTATATAAACGTTTAATTGTATCCGAAACGTGTGTCTTTATTCGAGTTTTTGCCGAAACGCAGACTATCCTCGCGACGATTTAGTAAGCCAAAACGAGTCGGGTGAGAAATTAATTCGGGCAAGGTTGGCTCGCGTCCACTTATGCGACAAGGATTGTTGTGAGAAGACACGGAAACGCTCGCGTTCGCCCCAAGTTTACCCAGGGATCATACAGTGTTAAAAACTCCCCTGTTTGCCGGTGAGGCGAGTGCGAGGGTTACTCGGATCGTTATTTCGGAGTGTTTGTCGTGTTTTAAGATTCTGACGTTTTGACTACCCGAATCGCGGTAAACGAGGCCGCGTGTATCCCGCCGTGGCATGTTTGAAAGGAAACTTTTCTTTTTTTACCTATATACGTGTATTCGCACGAAACCTTCAAAGCATACGTTGGCCTGATACATTCGAATACAATTTATATAAATAATAATTTATATAAATATCACATATCTATTTTAAAATTGTATATCCTTACATATTTTTTCGTGACGCCATATGTCATTGTAAAATATAGATCGCGAGAAAAAAAAGACGTCATCACGAACGCACGTGAGCGTTTCGCAATGACTAGGATGAAATTTTGTCGCAGGATAAATTTCTACACGAGGACCAGTTTTCGCTGGCAATAATCACAACGTCGAGCATAACGACTTTCAGATGCGACGGCGCGACCGGGGAGCGAGTGGTCATTGAAGCGTTCGTAAAAGCCTGCCTTGCTGCTGGCGCGACGGAATGAGGAGCGAAAAATATCGAGAAAATAAAGTAGGGAAACGTGGAATTAATATATGTGAAAGAAACGGATATGTGCGTATATGTATCCGACTCGTACTGCCAGACCAGAGCGGAAAATAATGTTTAATCGGTAGAAAATCTCGGCGCAGTCATCCGCGCGCTCCTCGATCCCCCGCGCCCTCGCAATCCCTTCCGCGATCCCTTACTTGACCGAGAGGGATGGATTTTTTAATTTTTAATTGGCAAAAAACGTCGCCGAGGTGGTCGCCGGCGAGATCCGCCAACCGTTCTCGCGGATTTAACTGGCGTATTCGGGTTCTTCTCTCGGAAACACTAATATCTTCTAACATTGAAAGTTGCCTCTCTTCAGAGAATTGTTCTCGTTGTCGCTTGAAATTCATTTTCGTATCACGAAACTAGATTTAAAATCTTGTCGTCTATTACAAGTAAGTCTGTTGCATCTCTTAAGGATCTCGATGCAATTATATATCTATAAAATTTATTCATTTTCCAATACAGCCTCTTACATTCGTTCGTTATTATTTAGTTGATATTTTTATGAACGCTGTTAATAAAGTGTCCATTAGCTCGTTATAATTCACGATTAACAAATTGAGGAGAACTCTTTAGTTATGTAGATTAGAGACACGCTTCAAAGCAAAGGATCGCCGATGCGAGCGGTCGCAACAGCTGTTCGGTCGACCGAACACGAGAGCCGCTATAAAAGGTTGACCCTTCTCACAACGATGGTAGAGAGATCTTTACGACTTATTAAATCATTTTTATCTTTTCACGACAACTTTTGCGAATAACTTTTCGCAATCCTGTTGTTGAAGGAATCTCATGCCGCCTCTTACATAAAAGTATCCTCGCAATCGTCATAAATTTTTCATCGGTAAATAATAATAAAAATTAATCCCTATTATTAATCGACTAAGAAAATACAAGAAATGTTTGCGTGTGATTTACGCGGCAATTTAGAGGCGTCCTGTGTAATGCCATATGTAGATACTCGAATCGTGCATTTTTCTTTTCCAATCGTAAAAGAGATATCGAAGATTCGGAAGATTTGCACTCGCGTTCAGCGCTGCAACGTTCACCATGCGGCGGCGATTTAAAACGAGTCGTCCTCCTTCCACGAGAGAAGGGAGAAAGGGAGAGAAAGGGAGAGAGAGATGCGAGCGAGACGGGGATCCGTTGCGCCAGGACATCGGTCAGGATCTGGCTGTCGATAGTCGAAGCTTTCCCTCGGATTCTCGCGCTCTCTTCCTGCCTATACCTCGGCCGGACCGTCATAAAACACAGGTAACTCCGGTATTTATGCCCGTCGTTTTTACGCCCGTCGCCACCCTTCCCTCCCCCTCGCCTCTCGTCGCGCCGCGCTCTCTCGCGTACCAACACCAACGCGTAGCAGAGAAACATGCATATACAGCCGCGTCTCCGTACGGCCCGTGACTCCTAGCAGTCGGAGGTTGACGCTAATCCCTGTCGGGAGCGAAAGGGGTGGCCGAGTGATATACGCCCCTGCGCCGGTATGATAATATTCCGCCGCCGCCACCCCCCGTAACCCCTGGCCGTCGTGCGTTAGTCGTTATATCCGTTGGCCGCCTCGTACACCACGCACTAGAAGAGGGTCTCTCTTTTAGGTCAGCGCGTAAGACCGAACGAAAGCGATTATAGTCGATTAAAGAGGGTCGCGATCGCCGAGTCGGGGGGGAAAAAACTTGCCCGCTCGACGTGTTCAAGTTTTTTTCGCGCTCGACCTCATCCGCGTTGATCCGCGAAAAAAATGAGGAGCCCCCTCGGAAAACGATTGACTAACATCTGCGAGAAATCGGATCCTGTTTCGCGGGGAAAAAAAAGACTCGCAAAGATGTATTAAATTTATCAACGTCCATTATTTTTGGAAAATATTGCGTATTCGCGGATATTAAAATGCACCAAGCTTTCTCACAACAGAATTTAAAGACTGGAAGCTTTTTCGAGGAACCCCGACGCAAGAACCGAGAGTTCTTGCTCTTGTTTTCTTCATCCGGCATCGATCTGGGTCGCCCCGTCAACGTCGTCACGCATTTCGACCACGATCAATTCTCCTCGTCCGCATTCGCAATATTAAATTGGCCTGACAAAGCCCGCGGGCGAGCGTGAGACAAATATTTGCAGCTGAAAAAGTCGGTAGCGGGCGCGCGCGCGTACGGGATGCGTGCAAAACAACGGAGGCAAAAAAGCGAGTGGAACGCGTGAGGAATCTGTATATAAAATGCACTCCGGGGCTCCTCGCCTCGCTGCGGTATTATGCAGCGATACGCGCGACGTGACTCGCCGACAAACATCATAAATTTTCGATTTATTCAACTGGGATCTGTTTGCCTCTTTTTTTACAGAGATAATAACGATCTCGTCTATTCGTATATTCGATCTTCGCTAGGCCAGGTCTTTTTTTCCTTTTCTCTTTCCTTTTTTTTTTAATACGCTTTTTCATTATACGTCCTACATCCTGTCACGCGCGCGCATAATTTTCAACCGGTATATTTCGAAGCGCGCAATGATGATGAAACGAGATTCGAGTTTATCTCGACGCGAAAATTCGTCGGCGTCAGACGCGCGAAAGGAAAAATCCACCGATCCGGCTCGGTGATTGCGATACTCGCGCGCGGAACGATCTCGCGTCACTCTCATATGGAGAATCTAGAGGAAAATCGTTGCATACCGGTGGTAGTTAGGGGCTGCCCGTAATACAGTAATGAGGGCTTACTGCCATGGAAACCAAAGCCGCTTACAGCCAACCACTCTACCTCCATCCGCCCTCTCACCGCTCTCGGTTCCTCTCGCTCGCGCTTCTCCGTCCCATCCCACGATTCCCTATATATCCGCGATATCCTCATTCGCGAGTCCCTAAAAAAAAATTCTAGAAATCGTTTCTCGGGTCTCTGTTGTGTCCGCGATGAGTATCTCGGGTCTCTCCATTTCTGTAAGTGGAAGAGGTCAACGTGGGACGCGACCAATCGCGTTTCGAAACGTGCGCTTCAAGTCGATATCTTTCAAACGAGCGGGAATTTGATAAAAATACAGCCCAATTATTATCCTGTATTTCGAGACAGGAGGGATAGAACAAAGATGATCGAAATAAGTCGATGGAAGATCCGCAAAAAGAAGAGCGCGAGTGTCGTTTAGGGTCTCACCGTCGGGCGAAAGTGGCGCGCCGGGGAAGCCGCCGATATCACAAACCCCCCCGCAATTTCCTTTTCCAATTTGCCATAAACAAGTCGGCCGCCCCCCTCGTTAACCGGCTACGCCTGGCGACTGCCTCTCTCGAAAGTTCGGTTTTCATTCGGGGGAGGAAAAGGATGAGGAAAGGGAGAGCGACAGGAGGACGAAGAAAACGCTGGTGCAACTCGGTCGAATTAAAGGAATTAAAGGACGCCTCGTTACTCGTATCTTTCGATTCCCCTCCACCTCGACTCTTATACGTACGGCAAAGGGAGAGACCAGAGGGAGTGAGAGAAAGAAAGAGAGAAAAAAAGGACGTTGAAAAGTTTGCTCCTTTCCTGCTCTGCGATTCTACGATCTAGGTCCTCTCGCGTCGCTTCTTTCCCCCCCGCCGCTACCTTGGGCTCCTCTTCAAGGAACGAACGTTTGCATTAACCGTTCGTAATGGCTGCGATTATTAGGGAGCATTATTCAGAGACCTCGGACCCCAATTTTTTCTCCCCTCGCCACCCCTGCACGCCGTCTTCTCGGACGAAAGGAACATTGAATTATTGAAACGCGGAGCCGGGAATTAAAAAATCTCCGCGTGCCCCTCCGCTTACCCTCCTCGCTCACCCCCTTTTGCCGCGTGGCGTGGCACGGGCGCTAGTTCGCGAGGAGATACCGGGTCACGGTATTTGTCGCGTGAATTAAAAATGAAGGCGGAACGAGGGGCCAGGTGGTGGCCCGTGCTTAGCTTTCGACGGGAAAAACGAGGCCATCAGTCGGGGCACCACCTTAATGTAGCGAAGTCTGAATGATTTATTTCGCCGCATCGGAAGAAGGTAGAGCCGGCGGAAAGACCGATCGAGTTTTCGACGTCAACCGATGAGAGTTATTTCGGTGAAGCAAATATACAAAGATAGAGAGAGAGAGTAAGAAGAGGGAAGAAATAGAAGAAGTTAAAATTAAATATTTTACATACATGTCGTATCAATATTTTAGGGGAAAAAATGCAATGACGTAAATTAAGAGAGAGTTATTTCCTTATTAATTATTTATAATATTATTATACAAAGAGTGGTGGTTCTCGTATAAAACTTACCTCTACCGCTTCTACCGACGAACCTGAGATCGTTGAATTTGGCGACTTGATTTTTCATTAGGGCGGTAGAATTCCGCAATTCCGCGCAACAATTTTCATCGTTCCCGGCTCGAACGGTCACGAGGGTACCGTCTCCGACCTCGCCGAGAGCCACTACCTTAAATGCTACCGGCAGGGTTTTGTTCGACCTCCAATGAGACGGCAGTACCGTGCAAACCACATGTGGGCTACCTAATTGAAATATAAAAAGAAATTAATAACTTTATTTTTACTAAAGAGTAATTAATTATATTTTTACATCTATCGTCACGTTTATTTTATATAAATATTAAGATATATTTTTTCCAAGTTTGGAAAAACATTTGTGAGGAAACAATATTTTTCTCGTTCTCTTTATTTGAAGATTACAGCTACCACATTTATTTTTTATATACTCGTAATAGAAATATAAGAGAAAAGAGTAATCCAATATAATAAAATTATTTCTACGTTACATAAATATTAGTTTTAAGCAAATATATTTTACCTGTACGAATGAGTTCTCCAGGATGCTCGGCGAGAAGTCCATCCAGCGTTCTCTCGGCGAGCAAATCGGCGGTGAGGGCATAATCGGGGAGGTGATTTCCGCCGGTTGAACCTTGAGGAGGAACCTCGTTAGCCAGGTGCATTCTTCTCCTCGAGGATGAGGCCCGGGTCCTCCGTATTCTCGGCCCGCTGATTTGGCTCACCGGATTCGCTTGATGCGGCTGATGACCACCTCGCACTGACCTAGGATCGGGATAGTCTAGGCCGGCAGGCCGATCCTCGGGTCGAGCATCTCGCGAAGGATTCGTCATGAGAACGATGTCATTGGTTCTCGCGATCGAGATATCACCTTTCCCTGCAAGCTTTCCGGATGAGTTCGGTTGCTCAATTGTTTACGTTTGATTTTTTCCAGATTCTAGACAAAGTAATTGTACACGTGAGAAAATCGATTTTCCCGATCAATGTCGATATGATATTTGGTCCTTGGATGATACGTTTGCGTTTGTGATATATAATTTTCTTCAGTTATCGCAGTCCCTTTGTCCTGCAAACTCAACTTTTCTCATTAGAATCGATTGTACATTATATTTTGACGTTTATGATTGGTCGTCAGTGCATCGAGTCGGCTCGACGATGGTCCTCCGAGCGTCTTGCAAGCGTCTTGCAATAAATTCGTGATGTCACCGATAACGAAGAACGCATTACGAATGCACGCCGGTATCTCCTTCCAGCGAGAATTGAATTTGTCTTCGGAATCGAATGGCACGCATTGACAATTCCTCGGCGGCTTTCTCGGCCCTCGCGGGGGGCCCCCTAGGCTTCTTTGATCCTTATTTCATTATCCTGCCGCGGATCGCGGGCGGGAGTAGCATCCGTTTGCAAATTCTTCGTCTCGATTGCCAACTCGCGGAGAAAATTCGTTTTATTGGAATCGTCGGCAATCTCAGCGACCCTTATTCCTGATTCTTTGATCGAGTTTTCCGTCTTCTTATCGACGACGAAGAAACACACTCGTGGCTACGCTTGAAACACGGAAATTCATAGATCAACAGACTCGTACTTTCCTTTTATATCACATGTATTTAAAACACCATCCCGCACCGACGATCCTCATGATCGATAGGATCGTACTCGCTCACTTTTTTCTCTCTCTCTCATAAATACGTATTTTTTTTGCACTAAAATTATACCGGGATATATCGAAAAGAGTTATTTTTTTAAATCATCGTTTTCGCGCTCAGCGCGCAAAGTTTCGTCAAACTTTGGCGAACACCGCGCACGGCATCTGTCACGTGTATCTCCCCCGTCGATCGAAGTCTTGATCAATCACGAGAACGATGTCGACGGTTGGCCGAGCGCGAATCTAAAGAAATTGGCGAACACAGAGAAGAAATATTGCAACGAATCAGATGACAATCACGATTCATTCACGGTGTACATCTTCGTACGCGCACATCAACACTGGGATCCGAAATTTTTCCGCCGCGTGGATCGCGCGATATCCCTCGGATGTCTCTCGCTGGATGCCAGAGTAGCCGGTCGCGGTCGCGGTCGCGGCGATGGTGATTCTTCACCTGGCCGTTGCTTCGGCGGGTGGCAGGGTAGCTTCTACTCGGAGGAAGTAGGATAGGGTGTTTAACTCGCGCGGTCTCGTTTCGGTTCGGCGGTGGAAGATGGCGGCTTCTGCGGTGGAGCCGCGCGGTGTGGTTGCGGTGTATTTTTGAGGCTGCCGCCCCCAGCCACCACCGAGACCACCCTGGGTAACTCTCTCCTCGCCCCCTCTTTTCGTCGCCCCCGCGGCCCGCCGCGCGTCTCTACCACGCCGCCGCCACCGCCGCCGCCGCCGCCGCTGCCTCCACGGTACCCGATCTCTCTGGTGGGGGGTTGGTTTTTCCAAGCGGTGGGGAAAAATCTCCCTGCTTTCTCTCACCACCCTTTTTCTCTCCTCGTCCCGTCACCGCGCCGCGCGCACAACCTCTCGCAGGACCGACGTTCCCGACAATACTCCCGCCGATGACGACCCGCGGACTACACGAGCCTCGCGCTGTCTTCCGGACTCCGTCGTCGTTGCGCCGGACGACGGGGGACTCGCGGGATGTTCAGGGGGAGACGAGCTTCCGGAGATGAATCTCGGCGCCGCGTCTCACCGCGCCGCATAATTGCTACGGTCGAACGATGACGATCGTCTACGCGGGGCACGGATGGACAAACACAGACGCGTGGTACATTCGCGCGGCGAATTACTTCACTTTGCCGTTCGACGACGATAACATGCGTGACAAATATTTTTGTCGGCCACCCGCGTCATTCGGGCTCGCGAGCTTTTTTATTTCGCGTCTCGTTATCAAAGTATTATAATTTTACTTTCAACACCGTGTGTTTACTTCACTTTCAGCACAACTATTTACACATTTTTTTTTTATTCACTAATCACTTTATTATTATTCACTTTAGTCCGTTTCTTATCGGAGGATGATTTCTCTACATACATCTGCGGCTTTTTATACAGACGTGCTGGTAATTACAAAATTAATAAACCTTCGATATTGATGTAATAATTCCCGCGAGACGGAAAGAAATGAAAGAAGAATGTAACTTGTTCGCGCAATCTTTACAGATGCCGAGTAAAGTCCATTAATTAATCTTGCGGACTCGAACGCGAATTATTTTTATTTGTGAAAAGTCGAAAATCTTCTTGATGGTTTTCTCGCGCGATATCTCGTCTGTCGGCCGGCTTTTTGCCCTTTTCGGTTGATTTCTTCCTGCTTCCGTCGTTCAACGACCACCCCGCGCGAGACTGCGAAACGACACTGGGAAGAAAGGGAAAACAAAGACGGTAGAAAGGCCCCTTGTGTAGTTGCGTTTAGTAGCGAGAAGTATGGGGGTTGCGCGATGCTCGGGGGGATTCTCGGAGAGTGCGGGCGAAGAACGGAGTCGAAACGGCCAGGGAAAGAGAGGGACACGTTGTCGCAACGCACAAGTAGTCATCCCCCAGATTCAGCGGACCAAATAAAGAAATATGACAAACGTTCCTGACAAGACTGACGTACCTCTTATCGCGAGTTTTTCGCGCAACATAATATAATATATGCCAATCTTGTACCAAGACTTAAATGTATAGGGCGATGATAAACGTTGTAACTTTGCATAATTCTAGTAATTTTTTTTTTACGCGCGTTTTAATTGTATTATTAATCGTTGATTGCATAGCACAAAGACCAGATCTCTTGTATTTAATTCCATCCGTCGTTCACCGATCGTGCATGACGAAAGCAGCCGACGGAACTTGAGAGATGGATCGTAGATCGTTGAATAAAACGAAACTCGACGCGGGTATTGTAACACGTCACTCTTTTTCGAGAGACAACACGAGACTATCGATCATGACGTATCTGTACCAAGCCGTACGAGAACCCCTAAACGAGCCGAGCCCCCTATATAATCCCTACGCCCTTGCGAGGAACAATGCGACGCCTCCGCGTCCCTAAATGCAGACCTTCCGAGATGCATTTCGTCGTGCGTAGATTCTTTTTCACTGTATGATGATAGCTCCTGCTTTCAGTTACATCCGCTGGTATTTGAATTCTGGCGCTTGTGTTTTTTTTATTACTTGACGAGTACGACATCATTAATAGTGTAAGATTTTCTTTCGTCAAAAAAAAGTATGAGTTTTGTTTTTAAATTACCATGTGTAAAATAAAAATATATGAGATATATATAATATTATGAAAAAAAAAACAATATTTATTATAATATTATGAGCAATGTTGTAGAATTAAAAATGAATTGCAAATTATTGTGATTTTTTTCTTTTTTATATTTCATATCTTTATGCGCTTTATATAGTTTCTCGAAATTCGTGCAATATTTCGACTTGTTTTAGCTACGAAAATAATTTCAAGGAGAGAGAGAATCTTCATATTGGCACGTGGTTTGTCCCATAGAGATATTCGGCAAAGAGATGCTTTAATTATGCTAAGTAACGTCTCCCACAAGCGTCGCGTCGTGGAAGACTGAGCCGGTCATAATATTTAATCATTACTCGTTTCTTCTCCCTCCGCGAAGGAGTTTCCGTAAGAAGTTCCGCCATTGCGCACAGGAAATGTATCGTCCGAATCATGAAGGCTACGTTCGCGATATTTTAGTAGATTTATATAAATGAAATTAATTCATCGCTCATTACCTGTTATTAAGAGTAATATATAAATGGTAATAAGAAAGAAAGTTACAAAAGCTAAATCAAAAACAAAATGTTACATATTTGATAACATCCAGCATGACAATATTTTCGCTTTGAATACTTTGAACCCTTCCGATCTTAAAGATTACGCAACAAACAAGAGCGCGAAGCTGGCAAATGGGGTGACTATGTCGCATTGGGTTCGTGCCACCCCTTGAGATTGTTTCACAAAAGCGATCGTTCAAGCGAAACTATGATCCTATATTATAAATTTAGGAAAAACCTGAATGAAATTTCAAAAGCAGCGAGATTAAAAAGAACGTTTTATATACTACAAGTATTAGGTATAGCGTTACAATCGTGTTGAGAATAAACCGTATTAGGGAAAAAAATCTCTTTCTTGATATCTAATTAAATCTCTGACGGAGGAAGAAACGATCTGTGATCTTTTATCCGCGGAGAACGCGGCGGTCTCACCCTATTACGGCTCTTCTTTTTCTTTCTTCCATAACTCACCATGATCCCATCCTCCCGTCGAAAAGGGGGTTGGCAAGGAACGCAGTAGGGTGGCATTTCATTTTTTGACACCCGGTGTATTTGATTCCACCCTTGTAATAAACCCCAGGGGTTGCCACCAGTGGGTCTCCCCTCCCCTCTCCTCTCTTTCTCTCTTTCCCTACATGTCATATCGACACCTCACCCCCTGAGGGTGGGTGACTGCTAGGTAATTTGCTTTCTTATTTTCTCCGTTACGGAGCTCCTATCATCCCCCTTTCTTTCCTCTCTCTTCCTCTCGACTTTCACCATTCTCCGAATGCTCGTCGCGTTGCTATCCTTGCCTAAGGACCCGATTTCTCGCACCCCGCGGACTCTTGCTTCGGCAATTTTCCTCTCCGTGCAGACAGCTGATGCCTAGAGAAACGCGTGAGAATTAAATCACGATGCGACTGACCCGAAGAATTTCTCCCTTGAAATAAATTGAGAATTTTTACTTGAAAGAATTCTTTAAGGAAGAGTCTGACTTGCGTTCCGAGATATTTCCTGCGATTTTTCTAAGCAAATATAAGACATAGCTTTGTAAAATGAAAGTGGGACACGATGATGAAACTAAAACTGCAATTAAAAGTCACTTTTTCGAAACTGAATTTACTGCAACATCCCTCTCTCGGAAATTTTGGAAAAAAAAATCTCCTTTATACGGTTTCCATCGTTCGAATAGCGATAACAAAAAAGTGATTTAAGCGGTGATTCTTTCATTGTCTTGATAAATCTCATAGCGAGGACACGGTGTCCGGTAGCGCGAGAAACCGACGAGAAGCCTCCAGTGCCGATTACTCGTTTCACTGCTAATCCGATTTTAGCTACCTCCAGACCGAGAACTCCTTAACGCTACTCCGTTGGTTTCTCTCGATAATCTTGTTACCTCCATTAGACAGACTTTGCAGTCTCGGATCGTTTGCGCGTGGAAAACGTCATCTTGAGCGACGACGGCGTAACGATGACAATTTTACGCGCGATTCATTTTACACCAGGTATATAATGTATCGCGATAATTCGCTCCATCCCATTTGATCGATCGCAGATCTAGGCGTAATAATCGAGAGTGCAACCTCGGAAAAATTTCTCGTTCTCTGATGAAGCTATTCAAGATTCGTAAAGGCCGCGAGTGGATACAACCCTTTCTAGCCAGACGAGCCGACGCATCCGCCGACTCCTCCGCGACAACGACGGGGCGACGGTGTGGGTGACTGGGTAGGTGGAGTGCTCCTCGCAGGGGACAAAACTCACCCTAAGAAGCTTCTAAGAACGCCAAGGCGGCGGTGTCGCTCTTGGTGGGGTATAAAAGTATGCCCGCATGCGCGAACTCCTCTGAAAAACTGCGACCCGCCTCCGGCGCCGCCTCTATCATCTCCCAACATCCCTTCGGTACCCCTCGAGCCCCTGATCCGCGCGGTGGGCCCCCGAGATGATCTCTCATCCCCTTGCCCCTTCTCTCGCCGCCCCCGGTGTCCCTTGCGCAAGACGTCGTCTGGAACGACCCGCGGCCTTTTTCGAGAATTGCCCCCCGGGTAACATGTGCTAACCGTGTGTGATTACCTCCGCTCTACAACGCGAGCGCGTTATCCGCGCTACCCCTTCATCCCTCCCGCCCCCCCCTGTCGCCCTTCTCCCTCTGTTGCGTGTCGCCCTTTCCGCTATCGCCGTTTTCTCGCTTTACTCTCGTCGATCGGTTTTTTTCTCGTCAGCGAAAATCAAAGTGCCACGACAGCGAACGAGAGGAATTGCGACTGACGGGCCGATAAACGGGTTAATATTGTGCGGTGCGAGTGGAGAACCGCCGAGGAGTGATCTCCGACCGAGCACACGAACGACGAGCGGACGTCAGAGTGTGTGATCTTGGTTGAACCTTAGATTGTGACGATGTAGAAGTAGTTCATCAGAAAGTAAGAAGAAATTTTGTAATGTTGTGTACGTGAGAAAAAAATGTTTCAATATTTTTTGTCTTTGCAGTGTCAATCTATATTGTATAATTGTTACATTTTCGAACGTTTTGAAGAATTTTTAAATTATACCTGGAAAATTTTTGAGAGCCAAAAATAAAGATCGACAATA